AAACATTCAACACCAAGCCCATCTTTTGATCCAATAATGTTGGTGATTTTATGTCGTGTTTCTCCTTCCTCAACAATGTCATGTTATTGTTTCCGAAAGAGGCGTGTGTTAAGGACGTTGATGATGGGTTAAATAAAGCAAATATCATTGGATTTCCTACATGATCAAAGCTTCAGAGGGTGGAGGAAGAAAAGGAATTAGAAATGTGGAAAATCCAGATAATTTTAAGCAAACATTTGCTCAAGTTCAAGTTGAAGTTCCTGGTTCACTGATTTTCATCATGCGATTTGCTCGAGATGCTCATCATCTCGAAGTTCAAGTTTTAGCGGATCAATACGGAAATGCGATCTCCTTATTTGAAAGAAATTGTTCGGTTCAAAGGCGTCATCAAAAGATCATTGAAGAGGCTCTCGTTACGATTATAAAATAGGAGACATTTGAATCGATGGAAAGTGCTTCTGTTAGATTAGCTAAATTAGTTGATTATGTTAGTGCGGGAACCTTTGAATATCTTTACAGTAACGAGAAAGATTTTTTTTTTCTTGAATTAAGGTTGAACATCCTACGAAAGAAATGGTTTCAGGTGTGAATTTACCTGCTCAATTACAAATCGCTATGAGAATTCCACTTCATCAAATTCGTTCCGAGATCGATTTTGATTTTTCAGATTCCGAGTCTCTTCAAACTCAAAGGAGACCTGCACCAAAACGTCATGTAATCACTCGTATAACAGCGGAAAATCCTGACGCAGATTTAAACCAAGGTAGTTTGGTATGGTGCATGAACTTAATTTTCGAGCAGCACGAATGTTTAGCGGTTAATTCTGCCGGTGGCCTTCATGAGTTTGCTGATTCTCAATTTGGTCACATTTTCGCTTATGGGGAGAATTGTCAACAATCTCGAAAGAATATGATAGTCGTGCTTAAGGAATTGTGGACTCGTGGGGACTTTAGAACCACAGTGGAATATTTAGTCAAATTACTTGAAACCCAAACTTTCGAAGAAAATAGGATGGTTGGACATGTTAATATCTGATGAAAAATCTAACGGCCGAAAAGCCTGATAAAATGTTGGCTGTGATATGCGGTGCAGTGACCAAGGCTTATACAGCAGCCATGGAATCCATAATGAGATATAAACGTTTCTTGGAGAAAGGAAAATCCCTAGCAGATATATATTGCGTACCGTCTTCATCATCGATTTCATTTATGAAGGCGTCCATTATCAATTTACCGTTACTATACCAACTCCAGATTCTTTCACGCTTTACTTGAATGGGTCAAGGGTTCAAGTTTCTGTTCGTGCTCTTACCGATGGTCCGATGGTGGGTTATTAGTTTTGTTAGACGGAAAAAGCCATACTTGCTATTTTTGCGAAGAATTCAAGGAATAAGTTTGATGATTAATAATAAAACTTGAACAAGAAAATGATCCAAAACAAACTTCGTTAACACTCTCCTGGAAAGCTTGTGAGATTTTTGGTGGAGTCTGGCGATCATGTAAAAAGAGGTGACGCTTACGCTGAAATTGAAGATTTACAATTTTATCGTTTTCCAAAAGAATCATTTTAAGTTTTATTTTTTTATATCATCTAAATTATTTAACATTGATTATTATTTAGGTGATGAAAATGTACATGCCGCTTATTGCAACAGAAGATGGTATTGTTCAATTTATAAAACAACAAAATTCTACGCTCGAATCCGGTGACATTATTGAAATTCTCACTCTTGATGACCCTAATCGAGTTCGTTACCTTTTGAGGGGCAATGAATCCGCCCGTTTTAGCCAGTGATAAAGCTCATCAGAGATATTGAGAGGTCAAGCATATCCTTGAATGTATATTGGATGGTTACGATAATCAAGCAATGTTACAGAGTAGCGTCAAAGAATTAATCGAACTTTTAGATAATTCCGATCTTCCTTATTTAGAATTTCATGCAATGCTTTCAGCACTCTCCGGAAGGATCCCGGCCAAACTTGAAGCAGCTTTATTGAGAATTTCTAATGAGACGCATAGTCAAGGATTAGAATATCCTGTTAAACGATTAAAAGAAATGATTGATAATTATTCTCTCGATTTTATCAAACCTTCAGACCTTTCAATGTGATCGCTCCCGTGATTGACATTCTTGAACGATATGTTTGTGACTAAAGTGGAATGATATCACTTATTTGTTAAGCAAGTATCATATGTTGAAGTATTCTAACAAACGTGAAGAAGCTGTTCATGCTTTACGGATAAGTGTTCTCAATTGTTTGTCACATTCCAAAGTTGAGGTAAAGAATATTCTGATATTACATCTTTAGATCAGATTAGGCCCGCAAATGTTGGACAAGCCCTTGACAAATTCTATTCATCGATTTTGAAAAAATTGGCGGAACTCGGAGGAAGTTTCACAACCAAAGTTGCATTGAAGGCGCGTGAATTGTTGATTCATTGTCATTTACCTTCTTATGAAGAAAGGTATGCTCAAATGGGATTTGCTGTTTTCGATGTTCTTCCGAATTTCATTTATCATCAAGATAGTTGGGTTGGGCTTGCCGCATTATAAGTTTACGCCCGACGCGCTTATCGTGTCTATCAACTTTAATACCGCACAGATCAAGCCCCATTTATGGTCTCTTGGAACTTCGTGCTACGACTATAGTCCAACTGATTCGGTCGAAAGCCCCTTGTTTTTTAGTATGAGACGTTCAGCTTCAATATCAGATTTAAGTTATTTGATTCCGAAAACCGAGAATGAACCACTTTGTGTTGGCGCCAGTGATTTCCTGCACTTTGAATGAAGCAATAAAAAGAAGTATACCACGAATTTTAAAATTTTTTTTCCAAAAATACAAACTGTCCAAGGATGGAAATCTCAGGGTTCATCAGATAGAAACAATATAAATAATGTTTTGAACTTCGCTTTAAGGCTGGAAGATTATGCTAAGTGTTGAAAAAACAACTCAAACCCCTTATACAACGACATTCTTATGAATTATGTGAGCATGGGATACGAAGAATTACCATAGTCCTATTTCGTAAAGGTGGCTTATTAGGTTATCCAATTTCGATATTACTCCTTGCTTTACCGACAATCTACAGATGCACGTTTATTATGCCGTTGGTAAAGAAAATACTTCGACTGTAGATTCTTCATTCGATCCTTAGTTCGTCCTGATCGGTTGCGAAATAGCGTGCTAACGGCGGATTATCTAATCTCGGAGTCCGACAGATTATTGAATGAGATTTTGGATCGTTAGTTCAGAACATAAGAATTCTGA